GCCGCCGGTCTGTGCGGTGGACCCCGGCCCGCGTCTATGAGGTCGCCGTCGTTTGGCAGGCGGAGAAACTGAGGCCCGGAGGGGGATGGGGGCCGCGTCAAGGTCACGCAGCTCATGTGTGACCTGGGCTCTCCTCGGGTCGCCGATCCGAAAAGGACTGGAGGGAGGAAGGATGGACAGGTGGATGGGCGGAGCCCTGGAGGCTCCAGGCCCGGGATCTTAATCAGTCCCTGCTCCTCAGGTCTGCTACCGCTGCCACCGCGCCCCCTGCCGCCCCGGCTGGGGAGGGCGGCCCCCCGGCGCCCCCTCCGAACCTCACCAGTAACAGGAGGCTGCAGCAGACCCAGGCCCAGGTGGATGAGGTGAGTGTGGGGGCTGTCCGAGGCAGTCGGGGAGGACCCTGGCGCTGGCAGGCAGGTTTGGGGTCCCATCTGGTTGAGTGTGATGACAGTTCACGCCTGTGGGTTTGGGGTAAAAGGCATGCCATGCCCCATCTCTGTCGCCCTGTGAGCACGAACTTGGAAGGGCTCTGGGATGTGAAATCAGCTGTGTGCCAGCCTGGGCAGGTGTGCTTTGGTGCCGGACAGGTTGCCTGAGGCTAGAGGGTGTTGCTGTCATATCTGAGATGTCTGCCTACCAGCGTACCCCTAATGTGTGCGCCCGGCATGTCCCCAGGTGTGCTAGGCATGTTCTGTGTATGTCCTTGGCATGTTAGCCTGGCAGCACCGGGGTCCATGTTCCATGTATACACGGTGGACACATGTTGGAGGAGACCCTCGGTTGAAGTGGCCTCGGCACACACCCTGCCTCGCGCCCCTCCCCCAGGTGGTGGACATTATGAGGGTGAATGTGGATAAGGTCCTGGAGCGGGACCAGAAGCTCTCAGAGCTGGATGACCGCGCCGACGCGCTCCAGGCGGGGGCCTCCCAGTTTGAAACAAGTGCGGCCAAGCTCAAGCGCAAATACTGGTGGAAAAACCTCAAGGTAAGGATAGGGCAGGGAGGAGCACTGCGGGGCTAGTGAGGGCGGCATGGTTTGGCTGACTGACCCTCCTTCTCACCCCCAGATGATGATAATCTTGGGAGTGATTTGCGCCATCATCCTCATCATCATCATCGGTGAGTTGGGCAGGAGTGGCCAGGGCCCTTTCTCTGGAGAGGTTTTCCCTGTGAATTCTGGGTTTTGAAGGGCATTAACATAGTTTTTACTTTTCAACAAAAGACACATATTGCTGCTAATGGCAGCCCTGATTCATCTTTTAAGATTTTGGAAACAGGAAAGCTAATGGGTCCCAGTGTTCCATTGAGGACCCTTTGGGCTGAAGATCCCAGTCTGGGAATCCTGGCATTGGGTAGAAGATGACAGAAAAGGCCCAAGGGCTCAAGATGTGATATGATGTAACTGACACTTGTGTTTGGACACTTGTGGTCCTGGAGGCCCTGAGGACTAAGGGGATGTAGCCCCAGTAGATGCCCTACCATGGAACTGAAGGGACCTTGGAACCTACCTGACCAGCCCCTTTGTTTTGCAAATGGAGAAACTGAGGCCAAGAGAGGGGAAGGGACATCAGCTAGCTGGGGAGTGGGGAGGATTGGAATAGGGCCAGGCCTGACACACTTCTTTCTTTCTTTCTCTCTCTTCTCCCTCTTTCTTTCTCTCACCCTCTCTCCACAGTTTACTTCAGCACTTAAATCCCTGAGGAGTCAGCCCTGCCTAGAGAAGGGCCTCTCCCCCAACCCCAGCCGTTCCTCCACCTCTCAGCCATATCTTTCAGCCCCCCTCCCCTGGATCCGTGTGTGTGTGTGTGTCCGTGTGTGTGCCCCCCTGTAAATAGCCAGCTGTTATTTATACATATATAATATTATATATATTTGGTCTGTTTGTAGTTTTATTACTAGAAGATTTTTCCGGTTGTCCTTAACACCCCTTCCTGAGGTTCCTATCATCTCCTCTCCCTCCCTCCTTCCCCTTCTCTCTCTTCCTGACCAGCCCCAAGTCCCTTCATTTGCATCTGCTATGCAATAGTCCCTCTCCTCTCCTTCTCCTTCCTTTAACTGACCCCCCAAGCCTCCCCTCCATGCAATCCCCCCAAAACAAAAAGCACCTGTCCAGGCCTCCTTAGGTGCATCTGTGCATCTATTGGGAGGCTCTGAGACTGGCCCTACTTGGTCCTGAGATTCCCAAGGTCTGGGAGCTTCCAGCATGTTAATTAGCATACATTTACTTACTGACATCCTTTTTTAAAAATTTTAGTTCTGTCACTTTTCTTTCAGCCTCTGTTTCTTTTTTACTGAGGAGTTAGTCCCTATTGGTCCTCGTATCACACTTTTATTTGCACGGCATTACTTGCAGGTGGAGGGTTGCCTGGGTTTTTGGGGAACCAGACTGTTCCGGTCCCCAGAATTGCCCCTCCCAGCCCTTTTAGTCGTTTGCCTCTCCTGCCCCCATTTTCCAAACCTCTTGTGCCCGCCTCTCCCTTCCCCCAGCTGGTGTGTAAGTGTCTTGGAGTTTAGTGTGCTGTGATGGACCAATAATTCTGCCACTCGGGGTCTCTCCCTACATTCCTGCTCCCCAGTTTTCATGTGGGGCACTCAATTGACATTCCCAGGGGGTTTCCCTCCCTCCTATCTGCCTGATCCACCACCTCCTCCCACCAGGAGAGTTGGGAGTGGCCACAATCTTACTTCTTTTGGGAGGAGTGGCTGCCAGTATGTGTGTGTGTGGGGGTCATCACTGCCTTGGGGAGGAGTGGGGCAGGGCAGAGAATCCCCCCAGTTCCTGCCTGAAATCTCTGGCCTCACCCCTGCAGGAGGAGGTTGGACTGAAAACCTTCCTCCCCAATCTGGGGGATGTTGCCCCATCTCTGCCCAGCTCCTCTGACTGCCCCCTGTATTCAGGCTGGGGGTACTAGTCACTGCCAATGTGTGTATGGGACTTGCTGGATGATAGGGATTCTCGCTCCTTTCTGGGGCTGTTGAGCCCAGAGAGTGAGCGAGCGAGAGCTGTCCCCTCATTAGGTGAAGTGATAGAGCAAAGGTCTAATGTCTTTTTAAATGGCACAATTTTAGGGGTTTGAGGATGCAGTTCCTTAACCTGCCACTGGAGGGGGCCTCCAATCCCTCCCACACTCCAGGTGTTCTGTGTGGAGGGGGAGCAGGGAGATCTAAATTGTGGTGTGAAAGGGTAGGAGAGATGCTGGGGGTGGGGGTGCTGTGTTCTAGACCCCCCCATATTATCCCAGTGTCCCCTGCCTTCCCTCTTCCCTCACTCCCCTCCCCCAATTCTGTGGCGCATCCAGATTGTGAAAATGTACAATAAATGTGTAATGAGTAACCAGCTGGTGTCTAAGATTTTTCTTATTAATGGGAAGGTTAGTAGTCCTGCAGGTTTAACAGGGAAGTTAAAAACGTAATTGTGAAGGGTCTGAGCTTTGCAGGAGGCCCTGACCTTGGGCAGTGCAAAGTGTGATTCCCAAAGTGGCCACAGGGGGCACCATGAATTGGGAAATGGGAAGTGTCATTTCTCTCGGCCCCTCATGCTCAAGCCTGGTGAAGGCTGCAGCCTGGGCTACCCAGTTCTTCCTCCACTCTTGGTTGGGGCATGCACATGCTGTCAGACTCCTTTCTCCCCTCCTAGATTTAGCTCCAAGATTCTGCAGTCACTTCTGTGGTCCTTCCTCCTGGGCCTGAAGTTGGTGGCACTTACATGAAACATCTTCCCCCCTTCGTGCTTAGCACAGTGCCGGCATCTAGAGGGGTTACTGTTTATTGAACTGGTGCGCCGGGGGAAACCGAGCCTTGTGTGGCATGGGGCTGACTGGATCATGTGCTACACTTGCACTCTGTTCTGTGACTTGAGACTTCAGACCCTATCCTGAACTGTTGTGTCTGGCTTCTTGATGCACCGTCCCCAGGCACTTCGACGAGTGGAGGGTGCTCGATGAGCTCTAGGCTCAGCCCCTCAGGGCTGCAGCAATGAAGATCCAGTAGCACAGTTATGCTAGTAGTGCTTCCCCAACCTGCTGGCTCCTATGCGCTGCCAGAGATGCTTTTTAGAACAGATTTTCAGCATCGTCCCTGGAGATTCTGATGTAGCAATCCCAAGGGGCACAGGTAATTCTTGTAATCAGGTACGCAGTCCACTGTAAATTCCACCTGTTTCAAGGGCTTACCGTATACTAGGGTTTTGTACTTCGCCTTGTGAATCCCTGTAGACAAGTATTCTTTCCATAGGACCTAGGACACATCTTCAGTGTGGTATCAAGGATCCGGGATGAAATTTTAGCCCCATTATTGACTAGCATGATAATTCGGACAGATTACTTAACCTCTGAATCTCAGTGTCATTTGTGGGAGGATGGGTAGTGAGCCAGCCTCTGGAGAAAACAGAAAACACTCAGGAGGCAGCTGTAGCGTCATCATCCAGAGTTAAGCCCTAAAGACTGCTTTGCCTTAAAAGCATCTTCGGCTCAGGATCATGGGCCGTAGGGCGGGGCCAGAGGCTCTCTTCATAATTCAAGTCTGCGTAGTGGCCCCACCTACGCCGTCGCCGCTCACTTCTGCGCCTGCGTGCAGGTCAAGCTCGATGCGCCTGCGCAGACTGCGGTCCCGGGTAAGTGTCGTCAAGGAAAATCCCCAGCTTCTGGGTAAACAAGTTGCCGCGTGAGACCTCCGGCACGTGTCCTCTACAGCTCTGAAATCGTTCAGCCTATGAGAAAGCTTGGGGGACAGGACTGGCAGTTGCGTCACCGATCTAGCCCGGTTGGGGGTTGTTCCTAACAACCAATGAGAACTTCAGAGTTATGTACGGGCGTGGCTTCCTGTCAGACTACCAATCAGCGCGCCAGGGCGGCCCCTCCCTCACGTGGAGCTATCACTACCGGTTGTCAGGCAGACCAATGGGAAGATGACGATAACCGGAGGTGCCAATGAAACCTTTGCGGGGACTGAGCGGGTGCACGCGGCGCTGGGCATGGGTCGGCGCCTCTAAACCAATAAACTTTGGGGGCGTGGCAGCTCGGAGGGTGGGCGGGCCTGCTGGAGTTTGGAGTGGTTACTGCAGTCCCAGTCGTGAAGAAATCTGGCTTCAGCTTGTGCTGCGAGCGGTGAGTGCCCAGCGGGGAGAGAATTGAGGAGCGGTCGATATGAGTTTCTCCTGGGATGTGTGGGTGTTAGAAGGGTTGTTAGAGTGAAGGGATCATGCAAACGTGTGGTGGTCCCGGTGGGAGCTCTGACGGTTGTGGAGAAAATGGACTGCGAACTCAGCTCTACAGGGACGGAGTTGAATTACTGACATCAGCTCCTTTACCACTTTAGAGCGCTTCACCCGACTCTTTGGGGAAGGGGTTGCTCAGAAACCTTCAGTGACCTGAGGAAGTTGGAACTCCTGATCCTGGGGAGGTGCTGGGAGCTGGTGGGTATTCAGTCCATGGCTGAGGTTTGGGAAGGTGCCTTAAGCACTTGGAAGAGGCAGAGGCTCCGAGGCTGGAGGAAGGCTCTGGTAGGACGAGGGGCGGGGGGGATGCAAAAGTATTGGCATGGAATTGGAGAAAGTGTGGTGCGCTGATTTGGGTGATGCAAAGCCGGTCTCCTCATGGCTCTGGGTGTCTGTCTCAGGTGTAAAGGGGATGACTTGGGCCTCAGAGACATGGGATGCTTGGATTGTGGGAGGAAGGATAGGGTAGGGGTTTGTGCTGTGCCCACCTCTTCCTAAGCTAGTGGAGGTGAGGAGGCCCCCTAAGAGTGCTCTGGTAGCTATACAATCAGGTCTGTGTTAAAGCGATCTCGCATAAGGTAGAAGAGTGAAATGAGGTTTTTGGGAAATCACTGGGGCGGGAGGCTCCTGGGATGATCTGCAGGACTTCTTGTGCATTGGAAGATAAGCTATGATGACTGTGTGGTGTCTCAAAATCAGCGCAAGGGGGAGAGAAGTTGGATGGAGTCTGTGTTTCAGGCATCAAACTTAGAATCAGCTGGATATTTGGGAGGGCCAGATTTGCCAGGGCTGGAATGCAGGTTGGGTTCCTCAAGAAGGCAAGACAAGCCATCATTAGAAATCAGTTATGAGCCCCGGGCCGCATTTGTTATGAGGCAGACAATTCAGGCAAGTTTAGTAACTTCTGAGCCTTAGTTGTCCTCCATGGATTAGGGGCAGGAATACCCATCTCGCAGGATTGTCCTGGGGATTAAATAAAATTAATGTACGAAAAGTGCTTAGCACAATACTAGGTCACATTTTTAAAAAAATACATGGCTTAAAAACTATGGTATAAGGTGACAAAACAAGAATGAAAGGATGAGAGATTTATGTGAATGTTGTGGCAGGGAACTGTTCTCACACTGCCATGTTTTTCTGTCCCTCTTCCTGGTTCTTTTGGTCTTCAGGCACTGGCCCAAATTCCCGCATTCCTCCCTTCTATCCCTCTGAGGATCCAGGCCCCAGACTGGATTGCTTGCTTTGTCCCAGTTTGATTTCCTCATCCCGTACCAAACCAGGCTCGGGCTGCCTCCCCCGTAAGGAGAGAGATCCAGGCTCTGAAGGGGGCCTGGGAGGGAGCAAAGGTGCATGTTCTTTCGCAGAACCTGGGCCTCCAACTTCCCCGCCCTGGCCCTTTGACACTGCGCCAGCACCAGTGTATAGTTTGGGATCGAGGGCAGACCGTGCCAGGATCTGTAGGAAAGAGTCAAAGGGCTAGCAGATGCGTCCCGAAAAGAGAGCCAAGCATGGGGGCGGAGGAGGGACCCTCTTCCTCCTAATCCTCTCTCCAGGAATCCCTGGCTTTGGGACGGGACGGCTGTTGTTAGGTTGGGGGAGGCGTCCAGACTGAGAGCATGTCCTGGGCCACCAGCCAAGAGAACACGATGTTCCCAAGTGCGCTGGCCGCCGCCCTCTCGGGCTGGCCGCCTCCCAAACCGCTGCCTCTCCAACCTCCCTGCCCCACATTCCCCGGCTGCCTCGCCCCGCCTCCTTCCTCCGCTTTGACGTCACCGTTGCCTCCCGCCTCCTCTCCTCCATTGACGGCAGCAGAGCCTGGTTACTGTGGGGACGGTGAGGCTGGACGACCTGGCCTTATGAGTAGGTGGAGGCTGCTGAAGCGCAGGACCCTGTTTTCTATGTAAAAGACAGATGCGGAGGTGGGCGAGCAAGGACTGCCTGGGTCAGGGGAGATCGCACCTAAATCTCCTGAGGAGAGCTGGGGAGGAGAAAAACTTTCCAGAGAAGAGGTTCTGGAAATGACACAACCATCGAGCCACAGTACGTGGGGGTGGGGTGGGGTGGAGGGGACAACACAGCATCCCTTTCAGGGAGGATTGAGAATCCAGGCTCCTGTATCCTTTGTTTTCTGTTTTCTTGCTTCGGGTTTTTCTGGGTTATTTGCAACACCTCTGTGCCCCAGCTTTCCACAGAGCCCTCCCCTTGTCCCTCTCGCCCACCCAGGGGAAACACCATTGTTAAGGAGAACTTAGGCCATGTGACAGTGAGGGGCAGGGACCCACATATGACTTTGTCAGCGGCTGCCTGGGGACTGCTTCCCTTGCTATCCACAATTCCAATGATCCCTGAGAGAAACTACTGTACTTAATACAGTCTGGGTGAAGGAGCTGAGTAACAGTAGTTCTTGATGCAAAGTGGCACTTTATTCCCCCAAATCAGGCCTCTATTTTCGTCTTAGGGCTCAGTGCCCTGTTCTTCCCTTTAAAAAAAAAAAAAAAAAGACAATAAATAAATAAGTAAAAGGACAGTTTTCAGCCCCCCCTACACCTCTGAGCCTCTGTCCTTACTTTCCATACCTATCCATTTTACAAACAAAGTGATCATTTTGTCATGTTTTTCAATCATCTACCATGTGTGGGGCTCCTGTCCTGAACACTGGAGAGAAAGGTGACTGAGAGATGAAGTCCCACCTGGGCCCCCAAATCTTACTTTTCCAGCAGTGGGGATAAAGCTGTCCCTTTTTCTGTCTAGGGCCCCAGCTGGCGTCTTGTCATTGCTGCCCCATTTCTCCCTCTGTACCCCTAGTTTCCTGGCCCTCTCTTTCGGGGCAGCCCTAAGTGTGGGTGGCTGGATTCTTTGGAGAGGACTAGTCACCATGTAGGCTGCAGGGAGACCTATTCTCTGATTGGCTGTGGAAACACCTGCCATTGTTTCCCATCACAACCTCCACTGGCTCTGGCTGCCTCTGGCATTGTCTGTATTCTGCCTCCACCCACTCACCCTCCAGTCACACGTGGACCCTCAGTTGCCCTTCTCTCCGGATGTGAAGTGTCAGAAGATGGGGTTAGCTTCATTATTATGTATTATGACAAGGCTAGAGAAAACCCAGGAAAGGCCAAGCTGGGTCCCCTCCCACTCCCTGGCAGTGTCCAGCCATCTCATAGAGTTTGATCTAGCTCCTAAGGTCTGCCTTCCTTTTCCCTAGCCCTGGATAGGCCAAGGTGTCCTGTTTTGTAAGGCTGGTCAATTCAGGAAGTAGCCCACTGTGGCCTGGGCATTTTCCCCTAAGAGGGACAGCTTACCTGCCCTCACTTCCCCTCCATTATTCACTGTGCAAGGCGTCCTGTGTCCATTGGGCGGTGTCTGCAGTCCTTCAGCCCGGTGCCAGCACCCAGGTCCACGTGCGCCCGTGTGTGTGACACAACCCTGACCTCAGTGGGGGCCAGTAGCCAATCAGGCGCCAGGGAGAGATCCCCAGCCAATCGGGGGCGGGGCCTACGGCTCTGTGGGCAGGAGGCCAATGAGGGGCAGCGCCTGGCATTATGCAACCCGCCTCTCCGGCTCGCGGAGCTTCTACTCGGCTGCGGGCTGGAACGGCATCAGGCAGGCGGCTGGAGGGCAGGCGGCTCGCACGGCCAGGTAGGCATCTTTGTGGCCACCTTGTAGCCAGTCTTCGGCCTCGAGCCGGGCCGGCGCCACTTCCAATCTGATGGGTTACTATCAGCCCAGGCGTTCAGACAGCACGACAGTAATCCGTCTTCCTTGTTGCTGTCCACCCCTTTTCTGGCCCCGGGGACCTCGGTGCTCCTCACCACGCTGCACCTCTCCCCCATCCGTCCTCACTCCTGGTCTCCGCACCTTACCTCTGGCTTCCCTCCTCGGCCGTAGCCATCCCCGCCCCACAACAGACCCACCGCAGGTTTGCCCTCTGTCTCCTTCCTCGTCACTGAGGGGTCCCCAGATTTGCCCTGGCAGCAAGACCCTGTCAGGCTTTTGACGCTCCTCGTCCTCCCCCTCCAGTCCCTGGCCCTGCGCCGGTCGTGATGTCAGCCTGCTTCGGGCAGGAACATCCCGTTCCCGGCGCTAGTTCCTGCTGTTGGCCACAGCCTTCCCTTTTCCCCTGGCGCTCAGAAAATACTCGGGGATGGGGGTGTGGTTGGACGGGGAGTAAAGGCAGAACTACGTGGTGGCTGTTGTGCTTCTCCTGCCCAAGCTCGGATGGGGCAGAGGAGGGGTAGAAAAGTAAGGGACTTAGGAGAGGGGATTCCTGGGTCCTGGGTCCTGGATGATGGCAGGTGCCGGCTCTAGTCTTGGTGGTCGGGAGGTGGACAGGGGCCAGAGCAAGAAAGGCTGTATTGTTTTGACTAGAATGGCTGGGATCTAGGCGAGTGCGAGGCTAAGGGTCTTTTGCGCGGAGGGCGGAGGACGATGTGTTTTGTTCTGGGGAGGTCAGGGTCAGCTCCCTGGAATCCCGATAGGCTGTCCCTTTTCGGACGCCCACCCGGCCGTCCTGGGACCTAGTTTTTGTTAGGGATGGGTGACCGGAGCCAAGCCCGCCCATGTGGGAGTGGGTTTTTCCTTCACTTCCGCGGAGAAATGGGGGAGGGGTCGCTCCTCCCATCCTCCTGTGGGTCCCTCCAGCAACCGCTGAGCTCAGCAGCTGACGTCGGTTTCCTTGGCGACCGCGGCGGCGGCGGAAGCGCGTGGTGGGGCCCCGCACGTCGGCGCGCATGTGCAGCGGGGGTGGCGCCGCCCCCGGATAAAATTAGCCCGGAAGCCTAAATATAGGAGGCGATCCGCTCGCCCCACAACTCTGAGGCCTTGGATTCCTGGGCCTACTGCGGGCCTTATGAGAACCGGGGAATGCAGAATGTTCAGGCTTTGGTTCACAGCCATAATTTCAGTCGACTGCTCAGGCTCCATTTACCCACGCCACGCTGGCAGGGGATGTGGGGGCAGGCCCAAGAGATCCCTCTTTCTCCTGCAGCACCTCTACGGGGACAGAAACAGAACTTACCTGGGCTCCCTATTGGAAGCCCCAGGCCTGGATCCTAGGAACGTGGGACAAGCCAGGGAGGGTCTGAATGAAGCCAGCAGGTGCTGTGGGTAAATGGATAAGCTTTCTCCTAACTCTGCTTCTTGGTCTCTTCCAGGTACTGAGTGTGATCAATCTTCTTAATCTTCAGAGACAGATCCCACCTTACTCCCTCAGCCAGGCCTCAAGGCCCCCTTGTGCATTTGTGGTGGCATCTCCACTCTCCCTGTTCTCCTGTTCTCCTGCACATGGCCTAGACATGAGTGGCCCCCTGGAAGGGGCTGATGGGGGAGGGGACCCCAGGCCAGGAGAATCCTTTTGTCCTGGAGAAGTCCCATCCCCTGGACCCCCACAACACCGCCCTTGCCCAGGTCCTGGCCTGGCTGATGACACTGATGCTAACAGCAATGGCTCAAGTGGCAATGAGTCCAATGGGCATGAATCCAGGGGTGCATCCCAGCGGAGCTCACATAGCTCCTCCTCTGGCAATGGCAAGGACTCTGCCCTGTTGGAGACCACTGAGAGCAGCAAGAGGTATGTACATGTGCTGCAAAGTTGGGGAGAGGCCTTATGAGCAAGCTGAGGTAGCTCACAGGCCCCAAGCTGTTGTGTCACCTGCCCCTCATCTTGGGCTGTTGTTTGTCCTCTAGCACAAACTCGCAGAGCCCATCCCCACCCAGCAGTTCCATTGCCTACAGCCTCCTGAGTGCCAGCTCAGAGCAGGACAACCCATCTACCAGTGGCTGCAGGTTTGTGGGGTGAGGACTGGGGGAGGGATCTGGGTGTGGACCACACTCTGGGGCTAATGTCTTTATGCTTCCTTCTCTGTTGGCCCTGCAGCAGTGAACAGTCGGCCCGGGCAAGGACCCAGAAGGAACTCATGACAGCACTTCGGGAGCTCAAGCTTCGACTGCCACCAGAACGTCGGGGCAAGGGCCGCTCTGGTACCCTCGCCACACTACAGTATGCACTGGCCTGTGTCAAGCAGGTGCAGGGTGAGTGGTGCTTCCTGGGTGGGGACTGTCCAGAGTCTGGGCTGTTGTGTGTAGGGGTCCATCTCCTTAATGAATCTGCATGCATACCCTTACTCTTCAGCCAACCAAGATTACTACCAGCAGTGGAGCCTGGAAGAGGGTGAGCCTTCTGCCATGGATATGTCCACTTATACCCTGGAGGAGCTGGAACACATCACATCTGAGTACACGCTTCGCAACCAGGTCTGCTGCAGTCTAGCCCTTTCAACCCAGCGTACCCCAGTTCCTACTCCCACAGCTCCTAAGTCTGCTCTTATTTTTGCTTTCCTGTTAGGATACCTTCTCCGTGGCTGTTTCCTTCCTGACAGGCCGAATTGTCTACATTTCTGAGCAAGCAGGTGTCCTGCTACGGTGCAAGCGGGATGTGTTCCGGGGTGCCCGCTTCTCAGAACTCCTGGCTCCTCAGGATGTGGGTGTTTTCTATGGCTCCACTGCCCCATCGCGTCTCCCCACCTGGGGTGCTGGGGCCTCTGCAGGTGAGATGTCTTAAGTGCTTGTGGGGAGAATGGGTAGCCTGAGGAAGCTCCTGCTGCGAGGGGTTGGCTTTCCCTTGCTGGGTTCTTCTCAGCCGAAGGAAAGGCTAGGGGAGTATGCTTATTGCCTTCTTATCTGTCTCAGGTTCAGGCCTCAAAGACTTCACTCAGGAGAAGTCTGTCTTTTGCCGTATCAGGTAGGTGGGGGAGGCCTTTCCTTCCTGAGCCATCCATGGTATTGCTGTGTGGGCCATGACCATGGTGTTGGAGGGGCTGATGTCTTTCCACTGAAATTATCTAATGTTCCTCTCTCCCTTGCTAGAGGTGGTCCTGACCGGGATCCAGGGCCTCGGTACCAGCCATTCCGCCTAACCCCATATGTGACCAAGATCCGGGTCTCAGATGGGGCCCCTGCGCAGCCATGCTGCTTGCTCATTGCAGAGCGCATCCACTCGGGTTATGAAGGTGGGCAGGTCAGGGGCCTGGCTGGGGGTGGGGGTGGAAGGAAGGATTTCCCTGTTGGTTGGAGCTGAGGTGCAGAATGTGAGTCTGGGAGGCAGCAGTCAGTTTTTGGAACAGAAAGTAACATAAGGATAAGTGTTTAAGCTGTCCTTGGAGGTAGGGTTGGATGTGAGCCTTGGGCTGGGGCAGGGTGAAGACTACCTTGGTGGTTCTTGGTGTTTTTACTGGTTTGAAGCACAAGAATGGCCCAGACCCTCTTTGTGAGCCATAAAGGTGAGGGCTGAACTGCAAAGATTGCCAGCCAGGCTGGGGTCTCAGTCAGGGAGGAAGGCTGAGCAGTTGTTCAGTTCTGCACAAATCCGACAGCCACACGTTCTGTGCTTCAGCTCCCCGGATCCCCCCTGACAAGAGAATCTTCACTACACGGCACACACCCAGCTGCCTTTTCCAGGATGTGGATGAAAGGTGAAGTCAGCACCCAGTGGAAATGGGGTGGCCAGGGTTGAGGCTCTGGCCACTCTGACGCTTCCTCCCATCACAGGGCTGCCCCACTGCTGGGCTACCTGCCCCAGGACCTGCTGGGGGCCCCAGTGCTGCTCTTTCTGCATCCTGAGGACCGACCTCTCATGCTGGCCATTCACAAGAAGAGTGAGTTCCTCTCATCCTGCTCTCCTTCCCCTTGACCTCTGGAATGTCTACTGGGGTGGCCTCCACCTTGCTCAGCTCTCTTTTCCACTGACTCCTATACTTCATTTCCAACTCTCTCCAGTCCTGCAGTTGGCTGGCCAGCCCTTTGACCACTCCCCTATCCGCTTTTGTGCCCGCAATGGGGAGTATGTCACCATGGACACCAGCTGGGCTGGCTTTGTACATCCCTGGAGCCGTAAGGTGGCCTTTGTGTTGGGTCGCCACAAAGTACGCACGTAAGTGGGCCTTGCCCCCGAGTGGCACTGAGGAGGGGGTGAAAGGGAAGTCCTGGGGACAGGACTGGACTCATCTTTGCCCACTGCACAGGGCTCCGCTGAATGAGGATGTGTTCACTCCCCCGGCCCCCAGCTCGGCTCTGTCCCTGGACTCTGATATCCAGGAGCTCTCAGAGCAGATCCACCGGCTGCTGTTGCAGGTAAGAATTGAGGGGTGGGAATTGATGGGGGAACGTGGAAGGCAAGAGAGGTGGGAAGCAGGTGTAGATGTCTAACCATTCTTTTCTGTTGCAGCCTGTGCACAGCTCCAGCCCCACTGGGCTCTGTGGAGTTGGCCCTGTGGTGTCCCCAGGTCCTCTTCATAGCCCTGGCTCCTCCAGTGATAGTAATGGGGGTGATGCTGAGGGGCCTGGGCCTCCTGCTCCAGTGAGTGAACCTCTTTTACTTTACCCCTCTGATTTCCCATTTTTCTGTGCTCTGCAGAATCAGGATTGCCAGTCCCAGAGCTTTTTCTTGTCTCCTCTTCCTTCTTTGCTCTGCCTTTTCCTCCTTGTCCCAGGTCTCCAGGAACTCCTATTGGTACTTCCTTGTTTTATTGTGTCTTTGGCTCCTGGCAGTAGCGAGGTGCCCCAATGTTACTGCTCTGCTGTGTCCTGCAGGTGACTTTCCAGCAGATCTGTAAGGATGTGCATCTGGTGAAGCACCAGGGGCAGCAGCTTTTCATTGAGTCCCGGGCTCGGCCTCCACCCCGGCCTCGCCTCCCTGGTGAGTTGATGCGATGTTGTAGATGGAGGTGAGAACTGAGCCTTGGGGCCCCTGACCCTCACCCCACCCGTTTACCTCTTCTTGTCCTTACCCTAGCTACAGGAACATTCAAGGCCAAGGCCCTTCCTGCGCAATCCAGAGACCCAGAGCTGGAGGCTGCGCCTGCTCCCATCCAAGCCCCATTAGCCTTGGCCCCTGAGGAAGCTGAGAGGAAAGAAGCTTCCAGCTGTTCCTATCAGCAGATCAACTGCCTGGACAGCATCCTTAGGTTAGCCCCACTTGGAACCTTGTGTCTCAGCCCTGTCTCTGCCGCACCCACTGCCCTGCCCTTATGTCTTCTGCTGTATTCGTCACCAGGTACCTGGAGAGCTGTAACATCCCCAGCACGACCAAGCGAAAATGTGCCTCCTCTTCCTCCTATACTGCCTCCTCAGCCTCTGATGATGACAAGCAAAGAACAGGTCCAGTCCCTGTGGGGGCCAAGAAAGGTAAAGATTCAGTACATACCTGGCTCCCAGTGCCCTAGCCCAGCCCGGTGGCCCTGGGTCTCTACACATCTGCCTTGGGGACCCCTACCTTGCTGTGCCCTGTCCCCTCCCCCTGCATCATGATCTCCACACTCCTTCCTACTGTCAGTCCCTCCTCCTCTTCCCTGGGATCCCCTCTCCTGACCTCACAGTGGAGTGGGGGTGGTAACCAGTGACATCTCTCTGCACAGATCCACCACCAGCAGTGCTGTCTGGGGAGGGGGCCACTCCTCCGAAGGAGCCAGTGGTGGGAGGCACCCTGAGCCCACTCGCTCTGGCCAATAAGGCAGAGAGTGTGGTGTCCGTCACCAGTCAGTGTAGCTTCAGCTCGACCATCGTCCATGTGGGAGACAAGAAGCCCCCGGAGTCGGGTATGGGCGTGGAGAAACGAGGGCAGTCCTTGCGCTGCACTTGGTCTCTCAGCCACAGCTCCCCCACTAGCCTGTCCCTTCCCCTCCAGTCCTGAAGGGAGACAAGGAGGCTTCCCTTTTAGTTTGGGGCCACTGCTGCTTGCTGTCTGCTGCTGCCTGCCAGCCCCTGCCGCTTGCTCCTCCTCCATTTTCCCTGTCTTCTCACTGTAAAGCCTGGGCTGAGGGAGTGGGGCCCAACCCTGAGGTGCTGATCACAGAGGCCTGAGGCAAAAAATGTTGAAGACCCCGAAAGGGTCTTTGGGTATTGGCCTTAAAAATGTGTGTAGGAAGGGTAGGGAGAGGGTGTTCCTGCCAGCAAGGGTTGTAAAGATGTCACCGCTGGGGGTTTCTGGCGGAGCAGTAGCTACCGGGAGGGACTGAGTAGTTTCTGTCCTGGGACAGCTTTGCATGAGAGGAGGTCCGTGGACAGCTCTCAGTGGAAAGGTGGTCAGGAGAGCACACGGTGCCCAGGCTTGGCTGTGGGGTGAGGCAGGGCGGCTGGGCTGTTGGCAGGGAGGGTGTGGTGTGGATGTGTTGTGATGACTTTTCCCCATCTCACCTTCCTCAGACATCATCATGATGGAGGACCTGCCTGGTTTAGCCCTGGGCCCGGCCCCAAGCTCGGCCCCCAGCCCCACAGTAGCTCCTGACCCAGCCCCAGATGCCTACCGCCCAGTGGGCCTGACGAAGGCCGTGCTGTCCCTGCATACACAGAAGGAAGAGCAAGCCTTCCTCAGCCGCTTCCGAGACCTTGGCAGGCTGCGTGGACTTGACAGCTCTTCCACAGCCCTGTCCGCCCCTGGCGAGCGAGGTAGCCCCCTGCAGCTTCCCTGAGCTGCCCTCTGCCCAGTCTAGGGCCAGACTGTCAGGGATGGGCCTTGAGGGAGATGTTTCTGCTCCGGGGGACCTAAGCTGATGCTGCTTCCACCACCAGGACTCTGCCTAGGAGCAGGTCCTTTGCTAACCTCTCCCTGCTAGGCACTGACAGGGGCAGGCAGAAGTGCTTGTTCCAGGTAAGCTACTTCAGGCCTAACCTGGGGCCAGGAACAGGAAGTATTCTCACCTGGGACTGTTCACCTGGTTGTCACTGATCAAGAGATCTACATAGACTGTGGGCCAGCTTTGGATGGGTTTAGGGTCTCAAGGGGAAAAGGAAGACGGCCTCTTCAGTTGCCTGAGGGAGGCCCTGAACAGATGTGCAAATGGATACAGAACTCTCGCCTCAGGCCCATGCTTTCCTGCCCACCTCTTCACTCCATTGTGAGCAGGCAGATCAAAGCCTTGATGGCAGGAGTATCCAGGCTGACAGAGCCTGCAGGATTTGGGCAGATGGGCCAGAACCGCCTGCCAGTTCACTGGACCCACTCTGCTTCTGCCCATCCGCCAGTGCCTCTGTCTTCTGCGTATCACCGTCCTGACCACTCATGTAGCGTGCCTTTTCCTGGCTCCTTTTTCAATAAACCCCCCATCCCTGCCTGTTGTGATTCTTACATGGAGATGCCACCACCTGCCGAGACCCCTGTGTTCTGTGTAGGCTGAGAATCTCTCTGGGGCGTTGCAGGCCCTCTCCTTGGTCAATGTGTCAGGGCAGTGGAGGTAGCAGGGGTACTAATCCCCAGGCTGAGGCCCACACTAACCGTAGTTTTTCCCCACAGGCTGCCACCACGGCCCCCCACCCCCCAGCCGCCGACACCACTGCCGATCCAAAGCCAAGCGCTCACGCCACCATCAGACCCCCCGGGCTGAAGCCCCCTGCTATGTCTCCCACCCCTCATCTGTGCCCCCCTCTGGCCCCTGGCCACCCCCACCAGCTACTACCACCTTCCCAGCAGTGGTCCAGCCCTACCCGCTCCCAGTGTTCTCCCCTAGAGGAGGCCCCCAGCCTCTTCCCACTACCCCCACCTCTGTGGCCCCTGCTGCCTTCTCTGCCCCCCTGGTAACCCCAGTGGTGGCCTTGGTGCTCCCTAACTATCTGTTCCCCACCCCATCCAGCTATCCCTATGGGGTTCACCAGGCCCCTGCTGAGGGGCCTGTCACCCCTGCCTCCCACTCACCTTCACCATCCCTGCTGCCGCTGCCCCCCAGCCCCCCACACCGCCCAGACTCCCCACTGTTCAACTCAAGATGCAGCTCTCCACTCCAGCTCAACCTGCTGCAGCTGGAGGAGCCCTCCCGCACTGAGGGGGGTGCTGTTGCAGTGGGCCCCGGGAGCAGTGCTGGGCCCCCACCTCCCATCGAGGAGGCCACGGAGCCCGAGACCAGACTGGTGAGCACCCTGGCCCTCATCCCTCAGCCCCTGCCCCTCTTCTACCTGGTGCCCTTCTTGTTCTGGAGTCTCCTGGGCTGGTGTCTCGCCTCCTGGAGCCAGTGTGGTGGGGTGGGAGACCCCAGCTGAATTTCTGAACAAAGCAGAATCGGCTGCCGCCTGTGTGAGGGGACAGTCCTGTCTGACAGGTATCGAGGACATCCCAGTAACTTCTGAGAAGCTGGAGAGGGTCCAGCATCACATCCCCCTCTTCGTCAGTTCTCCCTCAGCGTGGCCCCATGCTGTGGAGTAGGGAACAGAGGTGGCTTGGGTTGGAAACAGTGGGAAGGAAACCCAAGTAATACTCCTCCCCCTCCCTGTTCCCTCTGCTCTCTCTCTAGGTGGAGGTGACGGAGTCCTCTAATCAGGATGCGCTGTCTGGCTCCAGTGACCTGCTGGAGCTCCTGCTCCAAGAGGATTCTCGCTCTGGCACAGGCTCTGCAGCTTCGGGCTCCCTGGGCTCCGGCTTGGGCTCTGGCTCTGGCTCAGGCTCCCACGAGGGCGGCAGCACCTCAGCCAGCATTACCCGTGAGTGGTCATCCTTCAGTATTTCCCAGGGTAGGGTAGGGGAGGCGGAGTGCAGGCACCATCTTGGCTGACTGAGCCTGCTGTGCCAGACACAGGGCCTATGAGGGTGGCCTGGTAAGGCCCCAGGGTGGGCAGTTTGGCTGGTTAGTCCCATTGGCCTGTGCCCTACTCTACAGGAAGCAGTCAGAGCAGCCACACAAGCAAGTACTTTGGCAGCATTGACTCTTCAGAGGCTGAGGCTGGGGCTGCGCAGGCCAGGGCTGAGCCTGGTGACCAGGTCATTAAGTATGTGCTCCAGGATCCCATCTGGCTGCTCATGGCCAATGCTGACCAGCATGTCATGATGACCTACCAGGTGCCCTCCAGGTGAGGAGTTCAGAGGTTACCTCTGCCCCCCTGTCAGAGGTAGGAGGGAGGCTGGCCTGTCTTTGCTGCCCAGCTAACTTGGGGTTCTCTCTTTTTGGGGCTGGCTCTGAACTGGGGGTTCCCATTTTACCCCTGACTCCTTGGAGCTCTCTCTTCCTGTCTCCCAGGCTGACAGGTCCCTGGGGCTTAGATGCCTCCTAGAGTTCAGGGGAGGAGCAGGAGGCTCAGTGGGTGGGGACTGGTGGTAGAGGAAGAATGCCAGCCTCATGGGTCCTGCCTCCAGCGTGGATCCCATCCTCTGCCCTTTGAACTCCTTCCTCACACAGGGACATGGCCTCTGTGCTGAAGCAGGATCGGGAGCGGCTCCGGGCCATGCAGAAGCAGCAGCCTCGGTTCTCAGAGGACCAGCGGCGGGAACTGGGTGCTGTGCACTCCTGGGTCCGGAAGGGCCAGCTGCCTCAGGCCCTTGATGTGATGGTGAGAAGTCTGGGGACAGTGGAAGAAATAACTGAGTTGAGGTTCAAGGGACAGAGGCTAAGGGCTGGATCTCTGTCCATAGATCATTAATTCTCTTTTTTTTTTTTTTTTTAAGTCTTTTTGAGACAGGGTCTCACTATGTGGTTCAGGCTAGCCTTGAGCTCATTTTATAGCCCAGGCTGCTTTCAAACTCACACAGTCCTCCTGCTTCAGCCTCCCCAGTGCTGGGATTACAGGCACGCCGCACCAGGCCCAGCAGTGGATCATTAATTCTGAAGGACATTAATCCCATTAAATTTTCTACTGCATTATGTAGCATTGAACCACAAGAGGTTTTGCAGAACTTTTCTGAGCCCATCCTATGTTAACGTACATTGTGATTTCTACAGGGAGTCTAGGTAGAGGGTACATACCATTTTCTAACCTTGTTAGACCCCAAGGGCATCTGTTTGACTTGTTTGTTGGGAGTGCATTTTGGGAACTAGGGTTGGATTGGGCTGGGTTGGCTGGGGAGCTGATCTGGCAGCTTCGCAGTAAGGACTCTGCCTGATTCACTCGTTTCCCCTTTCTCCCTCAAGGCCTGTGTGGACTGTGGTAGCAGCACCCAAGACCCTGGCCACTCTGATCATCCACTGTTCTCAGAGCTGGATGGACTGGGGCTGGAGCCCATGGAGGAGGGCGGGGGTGGAGGTGAGGATGAGGGTGGTGAGGAGCCCCAAGCCCAAACTGGGGCCAAGGTCTCAGGCCCTCAGGACTCAGCCATGGAGGAGGAAGAACAAGGTGGGAGCTCATCCAGGCCAGCCTTACCTGCTGCAGAAAGTGGCACCAGCTAGACTCCATCCGGGGCCACTTCCCGGGGCCTTTGCGAGGCTTCCCTTTCCCATGTTGCTACTTACACGTGGCTGGACCAACCAGTAGGAAACTGCCCCAGCTTCTCCCATTGTAGGGGGCAGGACCCCCATCATCAGTTTAGGATACAGGGGCTCCTTCTGGCCTCTTAAGGGAACAGAGGGTGGAACTTTTTAGCCCACCCCAGAGGAAGGTCACCCCTCTTAACCTGGTGAGGAGCCTGCTTCCCCGGGTAAGGTTGCTGATAAGCTGCTGCAGTGTTCTCTCCAAATCCCCGCTGAGCCTGAATCTGGTCCCGAAGGTTGGGGCTGCACTTATTTATTGGGGGAGACAGCTTGCTCTCCTGCTCCTTCCCCACATGGGAGGAGGGGAGCCTGGGGCCCACGCAGAATCTGGAGGTTTCAACCCCTAGCTGCTCCAGGGTGGAGGAGGTTGGTGGACCATGGAGTCCCTGGTGCTGACCCTCAGGTGGGACCCAGGCGTTCTCAGCTCTACCCTCTACCAATGGCATTTGTGTTTTTGATATTGTGTCTGTTATTTTTTAATACAAAAAGAAAAAAAAATCAGGACTTTGTGGAATGAAGTGTTTCGGGTTTGGCTGACGGGAGGAGCCTGCTTCCAGGAAGGTGGGGTGGGCAGTTCTGTCCCCGGATAAGCCCCATTTCTCTGCTTTCTATTTCCCTTCCAGCCAAAAGGCCTTGCTGAGCCTGCTAAGTCTACACCTGATTCAAACCCTACTCTTCTACCATCACCTCAGCCGGGTTGGTTCTGGAAGGAGCAATGAGACAACTTGTTGCTAAGGGCTTGGCATACGCCAGCTGTGGCTCTTTGTGGGGAGGCAAAGAGAAAAGCCCGCAAAACCGGCGGTGCCCTGAGGCAGTAGGGTGTGTTTAGGTTCTCTTCTTAGCTTGTTGGAGATGGCCCTTCAGGGGTGTGGACCCATGTTTGTTGAGTTGGCCCGAAAAGGTGTTGGGGGAGGAAAGGAAGGCGCAGCATCAGTCTTGCTGCTCGGGATCTGAAAGGGAGCGCAGAACCTCAGGAGGGCTCAGTCCCCAAGAACCTTGCAGCCTTTATTCTAATAGACATTCTTACGCAGGGACACACAATAACAGCTGATCTACTGCTGATGGTAGTACACCTATAGCTGGCGCCGTGGCTTAGCTGGTTAAAGCGCCTGTCTAGTAAACAGGAGATCCTGGGTTCGAATCCCAGCGGTGCCTAAACTTGTTGGGAAGGAGAGTTATTCTTGCAAGTAAGCTGCCCCGCCCACCTCCGAAGGGTTTGTGTTGTACCTTGAAGGTTCTTCGTATCCCTTGTGCTGCACTTTTAGCGAAGATTCACTTTCCTTTCAAGATGGGAATCAGACACTGGAGTCCGTTTTTGGCTTCTTTTCTTAAGGGCTACACTGTAGTTCCGTGCAAAAAGTGCAAGGAGCCCGCGGGTGCACCAGGTTGCCAGGATGCACGCATGCGCGCAGTAGTCTCAAAGCCGTCGGGGTGGGGCTTGCAGGAGGCGGGCACATTGATAGGCAGCTATAGTTGCACAGGCGGAAAGATGTGTGCGGCTGTGATGGCCGAGTGGTTAAGGCGTTGGACTCGAAATCCAATGGGGTCTCCCCGCGCAGGTTCGAATCCTGCTCACAGCGTAGGAAGTTTTGGCGATGGATATTTCTACCTCCGGAAGAAACCAGTTTATTTTATAGTCCTTTCTTTGAAGAAGCTACTATCGTGAAGATCGGTTGAACTCGACCAACCCGCCAGCGCCCTCTAGCGAGGCTCAATCTCCTGCTGACCGCAAAAGCCTTTTCACTGACAATTTCAATTCATAACTCCACCAAACTCAGGTGGTTTCCTGGGATTGCTCGGCAATCATATTACCTTCCCCTAACCCATCAGTTCTCCTACTCTCCTCTTCTTTTTTTTTAACCGCACAACACATATCCCTTCATCTTGCCTGAGATTTTCTTCCTGTTTCACTGAGAAAATAAAGCATTTCGAAGTTTCCTTTAACACCCACAATCACAATTACCTACCCGAGGCTGTGACCACACACTCTTCTTCCCCTCCTCGCTATTGTAGAAGATCACTTCTACCAAACTATGAACAGTCTCTGCACTGGAGAAGATTCCGCCTCCCCTCTGGCTTACTCAAAGACATTTTATTTTTTTATTTTTTATTTTTTTAATGACAGTTACTCTATAGGTGCACACGTTGATAGAAATGCAAACCTGAGGTTGACATACTACCTTCACTCAAAATTATCAGCAAAACATTAACTCATCAAATTTTGGGCTCCGTTAACTAAGAAATACATTATCAATGAGGAAAAAGGACAAGTCAATACATGGAAAATTTGTAAATTAGATGTTTTTTAAATTTTTTTAGATGTTTCTTAAAAAGATATAAATATGGTATCATTCATCAGTGACACCTTAAATAAAATGTTTTAGCCATTCAGTCTATTCCTGTGTACTTAATTCTAATCAGGCTTGGCATTACATTAATATTTTAAGCAGCATGCCTAAAAGGAATGATAAAATTGGAAATCCATAATGTATTACTTACTGGTTTGAAATTTTTGTGAACTAAGTAAAAGCTTTTCAAGATTATTGATTGGAAGATATACTACAAACTAGAAAAAAATCCGCCTAGTGTAGCAGCCTATGCCTGCAGTCCCAGCACTGTGGAAGCTGAGGCAGGAGTATTGTTGCAAGTTCCAAGCCAGCCTGGGCTACATAGTGAGTTGAAGGCCAACCTGAACTACATGGCAAGACCCTGTCTCACAAAGAAAAAGAAAAGAGAAAATGGGTCACTTACATACATGTAAGGAAAGTTTTCTCTCTATCTGTTTTTAGGAGTATGTTTACACAACCTTTTTTTTTTTTTTTTTTTTTTTTTTTTTTTTTTTTGGTCTTTTT